TGATATATTACATATTAAGAGAACACCTCGACCATTCTTGATTTCGTATTCTCCAGGTAGAATATAAAACTCTTATCCAGCTGAACCACGTAGCGATCCGATAACGCAAAAGTTACAATCAATGTCCCTATTGGCACATACTTCCACCGTTTGCAATGCATTACTAGGAATATTGGCGATGTTTTCAGTTAATAAACGAATTTTGTTATGAGTTATCCTTTGGAAGATCAATTTACTAGGAGTTTTGATAATCAAAATATCAGATTTTTCTGTAAATGAGTGCCCCAACAAAACTGGGTGATTAAGAACGTAATCGTCAACTATGTAAAGCTCTATATCCTCCGTTAAGCCTTGCACTGTTACGGAGGCTAGCGCTACGCCTAGTGGTCTTACTAAGTTAGACCCTATCCCTTTTAGTACAGGCAACTTAGTTTGGGAATTAGTGTCGAGTCCCATAGTTTCTGCATCACTTAACCTAACTAAAGGACATTGACTCCCCAAGTCAACGTAACAGGTTGTAGAAAATCCGTTAACTTTTATGTTGATTATATATTTATCACAGGGGCAAACACCTAAAGTTACTTTCGATACGTGTTTCTCACATTTAGAATTACTAGAAGTTTGACTATTCCTGTTATATCCCGGCTCAGATGCTAATTTCTTTCTAAAACAATCGTTAGATTTATGACCTAATCTTTCACAAACTGTGCATTTTGTAAGAGGCGTATCGCGCCTAAAGCTAGGATGCTCTATATCGCTACAGTTAAAACACCTAATATTATTATTGAATGAGTCAGATTTAGACGACCCGGGTCTGTTTGACGCTAGCGTAACCTTACGATCACTATGATTTTGTATTGGTGCGTCGAAGCTTGTTTTGACAGTCTTAAAATATTTAAGAACCTGCTCAGGCTCCGAGAAATGGGCGGCCTGAGCCCCGACTTTTGTAGCACAATTCTCAACACCGTAAAGAAGGCAGTCCACAGCTTGTCTACCGAAAATTTTATAGCGATTTAATAAATAGATCTTTGCATAGTAGTAGTGCTCCAATGACTTGCCGTATTTTACTTATTTAGATAATATTTCAGTCAGAAGCTCGGCATAGTCTTCGCGACAGGGCAATGATTCTATCAAGTTCTTTTTCCACTCGGGTCATGTATACAATAGTGGAGGCAAACCACGAAACTAGGTCTTGGCAATACCACTAAGCTTAGGTAATGAATAATGAATAATTTCTTTTTCATCCCAGTTATAAATTTCCGCGCACTCTTCTACTTTGTTTATCCAAGTTAAAATAGTTTGCTCTTTCGACAAAGGGTCAAATTCCGGTATGACGTTAGTGTTGAAAACAAGTTAAGGCCTATCCGATAATATTAGTACCTGGTTCCTTACTTATACTCCTTTGCCGCTGACACCTAGTATGCTGTGAGGCGCCATCCTCCGAAGATGTCAAATGATCGCGCTTCCTCTTACTCTTCGATTCCAATCTATGGTGAGTTGACCGTTTACCCCTTTTCTTTCTTCCATCATTTCCATCCTCACTACCAGACTCATTAGTCTGATACCATGTTTGGACTCCCTTCCTTGGTCGTCCTTCCTCATCCTTGGAAAATTCCTGCTCTATCCTCGAGCAGGGAGTTTTCTGTATCAATACCGGGCTGAAATTCCGTCCTTGCACCTCTATCCTGGGCGCTCCTTGATTAGAAAGATGCGCCAGTCCTTCTCCTTGACTGGTCGCATCATCAAGTCCTTGATTAGATAGATGCGCCAGTCCTTCACCTCGACTGGTCACATCATCAACTCCTTGATTAGATAGATGCGCCAGTCCTTCACCTCGACTGGTCACATCATCAACTCCTTGATTAGATAGATGCGTCAGTCCTTCCCCTCGACTGGTCGCATCATCACTAATCTCATTCAACCCTTACCTCGGGTCATCCGTCCTTGGTCTTGTCCTTGACCAAACTATCCTGGGTGCTCCTTGATTAGATAGATGCGCCAGTCCTTCCCCTCGACTGATCGCATCATCACTAATCTCATTCAACCCTTACCTCGGGTCATCCGTCCTTGCTCTTGTCCTTGAGCAAATTCATCATCCATAATAGCTCCGATTATCTGAAACTTACAGGTATAAGCTTAGAACTTGTCCAGAGATTTTCTTTTAAAGTACATAGCAAATTATTTCTATAATTAGAACCTGACCTTCATTGTAAAAGTTGCACCGTAAATAGTTAAGCTGTGTAGGTTATTTTTTTATCATTATATTTATTATTGGTACAGATTCATCATACTGCAATAGTTATAACATTAACAAATTTATTTCGTTTTCATAATGTCGTGTATTATCAAAAGAAACAGAGTTGCATTATCAGTATTACGTTTTTTTTTTTTTTTTTTTTTTTTTTTTTTTTTTTTTCACGACTTATACGAAAAAGACGGTAGAATAATAAAAAAAAATAATCTTATAAATGATCTATTTCATTATTCCTCAAACTTTAAAATCAACAATTACAGTTATACTTAGTAGGAAAATATGCGAAATATCAATTTATATACACGAAAAATACTTACATTATTCGATCGGTGCACGTGGCAAGATAATTAAATATGTATCTTGTTTATCCGCCTTTCGTATTCGTCCCTGTCGTCAGAGCCGCTTGATCGTTGTCCACGCGATCGTCGTCCACTCGATCGCCTTCCATGCGACCGTCCTCTCCGAATCATCGTATCCTTGTCCATTTTATCCAATGGTACCGGTTGCTCTATCCTCGAGCTCATCCTCCTAATCCTTTCCTGTTGACCTACATCCTCAACCTCGGATGCTCCTTGGTCACTCCCATGTGTTAGTCCTTCCCCTCGACTAAGCACATGGGCTCCTTTTATCATTGAGCCACTTCCTCTTCCTAGACGAGCACTAGACCCTTCCCCTCGGCTAGTGTCGTCCTCCATCTCACAGTTGAGCGTAACTGAAAGCTTTTCCGAGCCGTGGACGTAGTAAGGGTAGTTTTCTAGAGCCTTATTTATCCCACTTCTGACCTTTTGTACTATTTCAAGATCAGGTAGAAAATAAAGGGTTGATTCCAACTATTACATTTTATTTCACTTTCTACAATACTATTTCGAGGCCAGGTAGAAAACAAAACGGTAGATTCAAACTATTACACTTTGGCTCACTTTACAATTTAAACTTATACACAATTCAACTTAACTTCACGTCTTACTGCGACGGCTCGCGTTGAGCTAATGCCACTCTCCATTTTACTAATCAACCTTTAGCACTTGTTAGCAAGGTGGGGCGGCGTCATTTCCGCCCCACTCTTTTACAGCAATCAAAACATTATCCTTCCGGTTACATTATATTACTCTATCCATTATCCGCAATCATTAATGTAAGTAACTAATAATTATTATAATATAAAGTCAAATCACTTATCGAGTAATTCCGTTATAAACAATAATATAGTGGTTATTAATCTAACAATAGCAATTATTAACCTAACACATGTTTATTACATCCCATTATTACTTATATTTCTTCTAAAAGTATGTAGTTGAAAATGGGGTATGAAAGTTTAGAGTACTGAACCTTATAGAATAGAATCATTTTTAATCAATAGGTTATTATATAATATTTATTGAGTCATTTTTAAATTTATTTATAGGTTCGGAAAATACCTGTCCTGGGAAGGACTAACAAGAAGCCCAGCGGGATTATTTTAAACATATATCACTACAACAATGTTGTACAACTTTTAAATTTGTTTTAATAGAACCAGCATGGTGACCTTCACCTCATTCCCAGGGATTGTTTTCATTCATGTATTCAATTTTACTTTAATAAAACTTAAACTTTTTTGAAATAATAATAGTTTTTACGGAATTTATCGCGTATATTTAACTTTTTAAATACCCGACGTTTCGAGCGCTTTACAGCACCCATTGTCACGGGCGGGACTGAGATGTTCAACGTCCAGATGTCATAGTTAACTGCGGTTACCATAGATTAAAATTTAACTTTTGTTCCGATCTACACAGTATGAACTTATGGTATCTTGAAGTCTTGCAGTTGTATGCTTGGGTTGGGATTTAATTTTATTTATTATAGGATATAATTTAATTAATATAATATAATTTTAATTTTATTTATTATAGATATTATAGAATTAAAGTTGCAGCAGTTACGGTTCGCTACAACAATAAAGGATACAGCCCTAGGTGCTATGGCTGTGGGGAAAGGGGCCATCTTCGGTCCAGCTGCCCTAAGCACACCCTAGGAAGGGAAGGTGAACGGTCTCAGAAAGGAAGTGCGGCTAACAGCACCGCCCAGCAGCAGCAGGAATACGACTTTACTATCAGACACTGCAGCGGGAAATCTCACGGCAACGCAGATGCATTGTCAAGAAGACCTTGTCCTGAACATTGCAACCATTGTAGTAGGCAAGAGAGTAAGGAAGTGGTATCCGTGAGGATGCTCAGGACAGACTACCTCAGCAACGGGTGGAAGGACAGCCTACGACATGCACAGCAGGAAGATCCGGACATCAAGCCGATTCTGGAAGGGATGAAGGCCCGTGCTACCAAGCCTAAGTGGAGGGACGTCTCAGCGATGAGTTCAACCACGAAAAGCTATTGGGCCCAATGGGACAGCTTGCTGATTCAGGATGGAGTCCTGTGCCGTAAATAGGACAATGGTCGAGGAGACAGCTGTCGTTTGCAAATAGTTGTCCCTAAAGCTAAAGTGCCAAATGTTCTACAGCTGTGCCATAATGGTCGTTCAAGAGTCCATCTGGGAGTTAACCTCCTCGATCCTGACGCCCCGTATAGGGGACAATTTTGTCAGTGCCTCCCGCTGTCGGCTGTTGTTGTAAACGTTATAATAATTGATTTAAAAGCTTATATATAGATGGCACTTTTCTACAAAATTTACTTTAGGCCCACTATATGCAGGAAAGTTGTTATTTCGCCAGTTTGAAATCGCGTGTTAACAGACTACCAAAGAAATGGCTACCCGTGGTAAGTTTTAAACTGTTTTTTATTGGAATAGCGCACGTTTCTTTTGAAATTACTTTGTATTGTGATAATTAGGTTACTTGACATATTGTGAAAACTTTTTTTTTCGCATTTCGATAAATGATATGACCGTACTGATTGCTCGCTTGTGGATGTCCCGCATAGGGGACTTTCGGTTTTGGCCTTTACATATGTATTTAATAAATACATTGTAGTTAAAAGTTTCTTATTATTTTCTAGGCTTATCTTCAGAACAGATACAGTCGGCTTTAGAGCTGAGAGATGATGACTCAATCATCGAAGGTATTTCCGATGAGGATGACTCGATCTCTCTTACTGCTCATGCAGAAACTCCCCAAGAAGGTGGAGAAAGCTCTAGTGAGTATTCAAGTGATGATGAAGTACCACTCTCCACATTTTCTGCTCCTCAGCCTTCTCAAATGAATCGTCGGATTTATTGGAAGCACCTAGACGACTTCGCACCATCTCCACCCGGAGTTTATCATCTTCCTCTAGCATCCAGTCACGTTAGAGTTTTACAAACACCGTTTGAATATTTTACCAGATATATTCCTGAAAAAATATTCGAAATATTCAGCTCCTTTTCAAATCAAACTTATTTACATAAAACAGGGAAGAATTTAGGCACAACAAAAGATGAAATGAAAATCTTTTTTGGCATATGTATCGCTATGAGCTATTTGGGTTTGCCAAGAATTAAAATGTATTGGATGAGTAAAACTAGGATCCCAATGATAGCTGATCGTATGACTAGAGATCGTTTTTTTCGGATAAGGACTAACTTGAAACTAGTGAATGACCTTGATGTCGATACGGCTGCCAAACAAAATAAGTTTTGGAAAGTGCAACCCCTAATTGAAACGGTACGAAAAGCTTGCCTAGAAAATCCCAGACCTCAAGAAGTCAGCATTGATGAACAAATAATACCATTTTGGGGCCAAGTATCAATGCGACAGTTTATCAGGGGAAAACCAAACCCTTGTGGGCTGAAGAATTTCGTTTGTACCAGCCCGGGTGGTATACCCTTAGATTTTTTCTTGTATGAGGGCAAGGGTGATAGCATACTACCGACTGGTGAAACTGAAGGTCTGGATATTGGCGGGAAAGTCGTAATGAGATTGGCTAATAATTTACCTGAGGGTTCCAAGCTATACATGGATAGATATTTTACATCAATTGAGCTGTTAGACAAACTATACACAGAGAAAAAAATGCAAGGAACGGGCACTCTCAAGAAGTCAAAAATCCCTAAAGCATGCAATTTTAAAACTGATAAGCAGTTAAAAGATCAGGGACGAGGTTCTTCTGACCAATTAGTAAGGAATGATGGCGTAATAGCTTGTTTGAAGTGGTTTGACAACAAACCTGTAGTTATGGCATCATCTGCAGATTCAAAGTTACCTGAAAACAAATGCCGGCGCTGGTGTAAGAAGACGAAGCAATACATCGAGATTAATCGGCCTTATGCTATTCAGCAATATAACGAAAATATGGGGGGAGTGGACATGCTGGATAGGGTTATTAGCTTCTATAGAATAAGCGCACGCTCAAAAAAATGGACGGTTCGATTGATATTCCATTTATTCGACTTTGCGGCAGCTGCAGGATGGTTGGTGTACCGGAAAGAAGCCCAAATGTTGGATACTCCTAAAAAAGGACACTCTGGATTACTTGGAGTTCAAAGCCGAAATAGCAAATTCTTTGCTCTATTTCACTCCAGCAAGAGAGCAAATACACCTGTACGAGGAAGTTGATGATGTGCCAGCAGAAGCTAGTCAAACTAGCCGCAAGAGGAAATATGTCCCTCAACCCCCATTGCAGCTGAGAACAGCCATGGCAGGTCATTTACCAATGATTGATAACGAGTCAGGTGATCACAGATGCCGCTTGCCAGGTTGCAAGAGCAAGAAAGCAAGGGTATACTGCTCAACTTGCGGCATGCATCTATGTTTAGTCGCAGGGCGGAATTGTTACAAACAATATCACGAACAAAATTAATTTTTATTTGAATAAATACTTCTTTCTTTCACTGAGCTTTAAGGTTTTATTTATATCTTTTTCATAACACTTAAACCGAAAGTCCCCTCTAGGGGACACGTAATAAAACAAATATATAAATAGAAAAAAAATACAAAGTATATTTTTGTTGCTTTAAAATGTATTTCTAAGTATGCCTATCAAAAATTGTATCAATATCTATCAAAACAACACCTCAGGACTGAGGAGGTTAAACGAACTCTACTGAAGGTCCGAGAACAGTTTTACTGGGTACATGTACAAGTTGTGCGGCCGTGAAGGGACCTCAGACACGTAGTAGAAGAGCATCGAAATTGTACAATGTTGGTGCACCATGGGATAGGACAGCCCTAGACATTGCGGGGCCGTTACAGAAAGGCGCAAGAGGGACTCCTAAGATCGCCCATGTGGATCACGGTCTTCTTTTGCAAAACAAATATGGCATCAATATTAGTCCCGTTACCCCATAGCAGAATTCCAAGACATTACGCTATGAAAGTAACTAAAATAAACTAATCTAGCTGTCTTAACATTGCTGAGAGTTCTAAATTTTATTACAGTATATGCTGCATAACTAAGTCTGGGATCTGGAATCTGGGTCTGAGATGCAGATATATGGGACCCCCATTGAAGTTTCGCGTCAATTAAAATCGCGCTTGGTGTAATACCACCAAGAACACAAAGACAGTGGTATCCACAAGACTCAACTCCATCCCATTTAGGAGTATTACAAATTCGCCGTTTAGGAGTGCAAATTGTTGAAACTTATGTACTAATTTCGATAGAGGATTATTTACATCGTCATAATTAATTGACTACCGTTTAAGTATCAAAATTAAAGAGATATCATCAGCAAATAATACTATCTCATGATTCACCCCCACAAGATAACGTAAGTCGTGAATATAGATTAAGAACAAGATTGGGCCAAGAATCGAGCCTTGAGGAACGCCCATCGATACTACCGATCCGGAGGAACCTTTACCATTGATAACGAGTTTTTCTGTTGGAATAAGGCTTTATGGGATTATACCACTTATATGAAAGATTGCCGTAGGTGCGGGAATAACTAAAACATAATATAGCTCAATAAGTCTCCCGGCTAGAAAACATTTTTTTTTAAAGAATATTAACAATGCTACAAACATTACTAATATTCCCCTTAACCACTGGTGGTAAGCTTAAATTGCTTGTGTTACGTGTGGTTCACGCCAGTAGTCGAATGGTGGATTCGAACCCTCGACCTTTTTGAGTTCGCGGTACGCGCCCTGCCATTAGGCTACTGTCGCTATTACTTTTAAAATAATAAGACACCATTACAGCATTGTCTATTTTATTGCGAAATTACGTTAATAAATATAGGTACTTTGGCAAAAGAAAATTCTTAGCATTTATAATTATTTTACAAAGGTGCACAATGCTGTCTTACTTTACATGTTAAGTTTCAATCAAATTAATTTGTGATACTTCTTAAACTTTACTACTGGAAGCGTTATTTGTGTTAAATTCTAAGAAATCCTTAAGCAAAGTTGTCCGCCGTTTTTCAGCAATATCCATTTGATTTTCTAAGTCACCACGGTCTGTTGTTTCAGCTCTTTCTACTTTCCATGAAAGATTTTCTATTTCGGCTTCCAACTGGGCCTTCAAAATCACATAATTCAGTTAAAAACATTTATAACTTGTTTTACTAATAAATAGTGCATAAGGATTTGTTTAAAATCTACAAAATATGACATTCAATGAATGTAATAATTCTCAACAATTGTAATATACACAAAATTATTGTTTTTTAATATAATTTAGAATATATTTGGTATACATCCATTTCAAACGAACATATTATATTGATGACAATACTACAGAATGTACATTATTTTAAAGAAGATTAATATATTTTTTAAGAGAATGATAATTTTCATTATAAAATTAAATGTAAATTTACATTTAATTTTATAATTATAAATAAACATTAAATAATATAATTTATATACGTATTTATAGGTATAAAATTTTGGAATCATACTCAACCAAATCAAAGCAATACATTTTGACAGCTGGTTTTCGATTCTTAAGAAAAATCGATATCGATTCTCTTTAGAGTTTGCAATCATTTACAGTTTTATTTCGATTAATACCAGAATAAACTAAAAACCGATAACTTAAAACACAAAATTTATCAGTATCTTCGTATTTGTTGTTACTACTTATTTCTAGAGGCAAATTTAAGATTGAAATTAAATATTTTTAATCTAATTTATTCAATAACTTCCACTTCAACTAGTTGACCTTTCGTTGTTGGGATTAATTTTGATTTTCAATTATGTAGTCAAATTGAATGTCCGTTTCAGTCATCCATAATTTTCCTTGTTTTCTCTACTACTATTGCCCAATCATCTTATATAACATGGGCGTATGCTTCCTTCAGTAAACCTTGCATCTTCTTTACTGTGAAAGGTAGGTTGGTGTTGTATCATGCTGAATAGCCTATAAAGGTATAAGATATTTTCATCTTGTGTGTGTTTAAGTAGAGTTAATATATTTGCATTTAGAACATTTCGTATAAGAACTAGCTTGTGTTGAGTTGTGTTGCTAGTCTATGCCTGTGCTCTTCTGCTAATTTATCAATAACATACAAAAGTTTACGTGGTCTATTTCGCTTTACTAATTGTATTAGCCCCTCTGCTTTCAATAACTTTATGTACGCTCCAACACCTTTGTGTTGTAGCCACGCTACTAAATCTGCTTTCTTTTTTGTTTGGGTTGGCGCTTTGTCGATTAGGACATAATGGTATGGGGTGTTGTTCATTATTATGGTGCTATTCGCAAGAATATTTTATAAAAGGGTTATAAAAACTGTGAATTTTTCTGTATCCATTTCTTCATTTTATTCTCTTGTACTCTTTGATCGGAACGCTAATAAACAATTTTCTTCAAATCATTACCCAGCGGATCCCGCGTGTCAAATTATGAGGCGACCACCTTTTCCCAAGGGCAATTTGTGACTTGCAACGGGCCCATCGTTTTGTAAATCATGTTCAAAATATTGGTGTAATATTTACCACTGTGTGGCTGTTTAAGACGTTTCCCCTAGCGAAAGACCTTGAGCGTTCGGTCCTATACAATCCACGCGCTCTCGCTACAATGTATCGCGTAAAAATACGCCTGAATATTATATTTGGAATATTATTTATAACGATTGTTACAACAATGCAGAAATAGTAAACACACATCACTTATATACTAATTGTACAATCAATTAAAGGTATACACCACATGCTTCAAAATACTAAAAAGTTACCAAGTAAAAAACAAAAAAAATACAAAAACTTAGAATAGAACAAAACAATATTATGAAAGTATATGAAACAATGACTTACACCTAGTTACTTAAATAATGTATCGTTTACTGTGGCCTTAAACTCAGCTAGAGACATAACATTAACATCTATTGACCCTCCGCACTTATTATATAGTTGGGAAATTCTGGAAACCGGTGAATTGGCTCCCAAAACTGTTTTGCGAAATGGACGAGAGAGAGGTTCGATGGGCTCACGAGGCATTCGTGACGGAACTTTAAAATTAAATTCTATCAGGAGTGCAGGACAATGCAACTGATATCATATTATCTTGAAAAAGAAGGATAGGTCAAGTATATCCCTGCGGTTGTCCAAGCTCTGCATCTTTAGGAACTCTAGTAGGTCCTTGTAGGGGCTAAATCTTTTGTGCCAGAAGTGTGAGAACACCAAGTGTTTTTCTAATCGTTTTTGAATGCGTTCAATACGAAGTGTGTGAGTAGCATAATGTGGACGCCAGACCACACTTCCATACTCAAGGATCGATCTAACCAAGATATTGTATAGCGCAATTTTTGAGGAATGGCGTGAATACTCTAGCGTTCCTGATAATAAAACCCAACATCTTGGACGCCCTCCCTATGATGTAGTCAATATGTGGGACAAATGTCATTTTATTATCCATGAGCACACCCAGATCCCTTAATACTGTCCTTTCTCCTAATCGAATCCCATTAATGCTGTAGATGGATGGAATAGGATTCAATTTCCTAGTGAATTTAATGTGAACACATTTATTAATATTGAGCTCCATTCCATTCGTCTGACACCATTTCACTAGCGCGTCAAGATCTTTTTTGTAAATGCAAAACATCATCCAGTGTTTCAATTACTTTCCACAGTTTTAGGTCATCTGCGAACATCGAAGTGGACGAGTATTTTATATAATTAGGTATATCGTTCACTAAGATATTGAAGAGAATAGGGCCTAGGTGTGAACCTTGCGGAACACCAGAAGTGATATCTCGTCTATGTAGTCGTTAATGGTTTTAGCTCTGAGCTAAAACCATTAATGACTACATAGAAAGAACGTTCACTTAGATAAGATTCGAACCAAGCTAGAACAGAACCCCCTATTCCGTATGCAGATAGTTTTGTCAGAAGCCGTCGATGGATTACTCTATCAAAGGCTTTGCTGAAGTCAGTATATATTGCGTCTACTTGTTTATTGCCATCAATGTGACTTGCAATGTCCTCCACATATGTAACTAGATTAGTATTAGTTGACCTACCTTTTGTGAAGCCGTGCTGGTTATCGTTTAAATACTTGTCGAAGTAGGTTTGAAGAATAGGGCAGACTAGAGACTCGAATACTTTAGCTAATGAGGACAATATGGAAATAGGCCTGTAGTTGCTAATGATCTGAGCATCACCTGCCTTATAAACTGGTACCACTTTAGAAACCTTCCAAACTTTGGGAAAAACCCCAGAACTTATTGAGTTATTAAAGATAATAAATAAAGGTTCCACCAGGCATGACGCGCATCGTGAAATAAACAACGGTGAAATATTATCACTCCCAGTGCCTTTCGTTACATCAATATTGACTAATTTTTTGTAAATTTGCTTGCGGGAAAGATTTAGAGTTGAAAAACAATCGATTGCTCCCCCATTGATGTACTAAAAATATTCTCGTCAGTATTTATGTCACATCGGACACCAAGATTTGAGGTAGTGGAGAAGAAGTAAGATGCAAAGCTGTTGCATATGTCATTACCGTTTTGTATCATCGTATTACCGTCCGTCATCGTAGCTGGATATGTTCCAGAGCCACCACGTATATATCATATTATATATCATATTATATTTGGAATATTATATATCATATTATATTTCGAATTATTTCAATTAAAAAGATAAGCGAACTTAAGAAATTAAATAAAACGTGTAGAATATAGATTTTTAAATTATCTATCCATTAGTGTAATCCTCAAATGATTAGAGCGTTGCCTTTAGCAACAGATGCAAGATTTTAATATATTCATAACACATAAAAACAAATTAGAAACGTGGAATGTGATGATAGGATATCGAATATTAATAATGTGCTTTTAGATGTAGCTTATTTCTCATAACTAATGAGATAATAGTCTCTGAAAAACGCACTTTTGCAAGGTTTTGGTCAGGGTACCGCCTTAAGGTGTGACTTCCACAACTACCCTCTACTGTAACGTCCTCTTTTCGACATTATAGTCATTTGCTTAGTCAAAATTCAGTATACAAGTTACCAAGGTCTTACTTATTTATTTGAAAAAAAACTTACTTATTTGAAAAAACTCCCGAGTGGTGATTTGAGAGGGTAGAGGGGAGAGAGGGGGCGCATCTGGAGTGGCAAGTCCCCAAATTTGTTTCCCCCTCTAGGGTCTTTTGAGGTTCCCGTTCGTTCTCCCGGGGTTCGGCTCGCAAACATGTAGCTGCTCTGGGAATTTCTGACACCACTGTTCGACGAATTCTCCATGAAGACCTTCAATTTCATCCCCACAAATTGGCTGTTGCGCAAGAATTAACTAAACGCGATTTTGTTGCCCGTCAAAATGCATGTGAAGTGCTGCTTGACAATCCGCCTCAAGACGCGGTCGTTTTTTTCAGTGACGAGGCTCGCTTTCACATTTCCGGCTGTGTCAACAAACAAAACGTGCGATACTGGTGGAAATCCGTGTGAACTTCACCAGAAGCCACTTCATTGTGAACCAGTTACTGTTTGGTGGGCGATATCGGTGATGGGAATAATTGGTTCTTATTTTTTTTTTCGAAGAAAACGAACGCGCAGTTACCGTGAATGCAGCTCGTTACAGAAACCTGATCGAGGAATTTTTTCTTCCAAACCTCGAAGAAATGAACGTTATGGGCGTGTGGTTTTAGCAAGATGGAGCCACAGTATACACAGCACGACGCCTAATGAATAACAACATTTCCCCGACCGCCTCATCTTTCTGAGGCGATCTCACATGGCCAGCACGCTGTCCCGATTTGGCTCCGTGCTATTTTTATTTATGGGGTTATTTGAAGTCCCTGGTTTATGTCGATCGACCACGGACCATAGCTCACCTCAAGGACAATATTCGTGACGCCATTGGTACCGATTGATATGCTGCGAAGAGTGGAGACGAACTTCAGAAATCGACTTAATCAGTGTATGCACAATGAGGGTCACCATTTAACCGATGTCATTTTCAATACTGTATGTAAAAAAACTTGGGATAATGTATTCTTAAATACAAAAAAGAATTAAAACAATAACTGGAGTACTTTTGTTTTTATTGACCTTTCAAATAAGTAAGTTTCTCAGGCGCACCCTGTAGAAGAACCAGTCCAAAAAGTAATAGCCGAGTCACAAAATAAGAAGACACAAAATCACAAAATCATAAATGTACGCACAGTAGGCTCGCGAAATAGCGGCAGATTGGAATTACTTAGTGCTTTTTCAGCGCGCCCATATACGAGTTCCTTTTTCCTACACAAATTTACGCTGACAAATTAGGAAATTATAAAAAAAAATTGTTTTATTCATGATCCTTATAATTTAAGCAATTTTAAAAATAAAATTTATATAAACAGATGATATATTAAAAAATTTAAACATCGATTATTTGAATATTTTTGCCGATTATTCGCATAACAATGAATTTTAATCATGCAAACATTACGGTAAGTTACATAACAACATATCATTGAAACGTCAGCCAAAAAAGTTGACTGTTTTTTTTATATGTATTTTGCTCTTTTTTGAAAGATTGAATTTTAATCAGTGATAAAGAACTATTCATGTTGTAATGAAATATATATTACTTTGTAAAAGGTTATTTTCAATCGTGTGAGTACACTAGTAAAAAATTACTGAGGAATGATTAATGTGAAACATCAAAAGGTATTTCTTAGATTTGGTTGAGTATAAATTTAAAAATTTTGCATTTGAGGCAATATATTCTAAAAAATATGTAAACTTATTTTTTTTTTCAATTTTATATTCTCAATTTAAGAAAAGATTTCAAAAGTTTAAAAAGATTTTATGATTACTATCAAAGTTTTATACGAAAATTTCATATAAAATCATACAAACCTGTTGATATTCAAAAAGTTCTTTTCGTGGCCCTACTTCCATATAATATGCATATGGATATGTGTATTGAAGAGTGTATCGACAACGTTTTAGTAATCTAGCTGCATCCCAAAGATATTGCCAGTCAATCCAAGTTCCTTCACCGGCCATAACCTAGAATGTAAAATAAAGAAGATTAAAAAATGCTAAAAGATTCGCAAAACAGTCGAAGATACACGACATCTGGCCAATTCGCCTGCCTAACATTGGATCACTGCAAATCTTTGCTCATACGAGTACAATGCAACAAGCGCATGTACTATTTACGGGATAGTGAGATGAAAAAATTAGGTTTTAATTTAGTTTAAATTTAAATTTTATGTTACAGATTTACAACCATATTGATTACCTTCTGATTGATGCGACTTTTTAAATTTGCTAAGGTTTGTTCTTCCAGTTTCAAAGATCGAGCGTGATTTTCCCACCTTTCATAGTAATGCAAATATTTTTTCAAAGCTTCCCTAGCCTGAAATAGGTAAATAAAACAAAGTGCTTTATGGCAATTATTATAAAAAAAATATGTCTTGCAAAAAATTACAATAAGCCTACCTGAGCATGTTGGTTATCATTTGCTAAATTAGGGTCTTCTTTATAACGACTGCATTCGTAATACTCCGAACCGTGAGATTTCCAGTCACCCAAGCAAACCCAACAAAAGTCATATCTACATGCCCCACATTGCATATGGTTACAACCACCATTCTTCTCTATGCATATTTGACATTTAGGACAGTCCTGCAAAAATTGAAAATGCGTTACACGAATATACGGTTATTTTGCAATATACGCCCAAATCTGCAAAGAAGGCTCAGAATTAGTAATATAGGTGAATGGTGAAGAAAAATTAATAGAAAAAATCTCAAGCATTCTGATCTTTTCATCTTTTAAATTCAGAATGTGTGGTAATCACTGACCTCTATATATATACAAGTACGCTGGACTGGCTATACCATAGAAAATGACTGTGCCAATTTGAAGCGCCGCTAAAGGATGTCTTGAAAAATAAAATTGACATAATGTGCCAAAGTCTGTTGTCATATTTAAATTGTCTTATTTAATAAATCTGTATTTTCAACTTTTAACTAAAAAAACGACAATATTTTATGCAGTTTGATTGTGTATAATATTAGTTACATAATAAGAATTATTTTTATTAATAATGAGTGTGCGTAATCTATAAAACTCGTTACCAAAAGGGAAGTGGTATAACATTTCACAAGTAAGTGAATTTACAGCAAATATGAAACAAATTAAAACTATTTGATAATATAAGTACTTAAAAATTTATTACTAATCTTAATATCATATATACCAACATCTTTGGCTGTATATTACTGAGTATTGATAAACAATAAAATTCAATAGGGTTGTCGAGTTACTTGCCTATAATAGTTATCGATGTTCTTTCCTACCCATATCTGTTAACAAACAAAGTCGCCAACAACAGACGATTATCAAATGTTTATTAATTAACAGGTTTCCAAGGGAACCTAGATTACCTTAAAAGCATAAATATTGTGAATTGGGGTCCGAAACAAAATGATCATATTTGTTCCACACATTTCACAGGCGACTGTTTTATTAGACATGAGAACTGCACCACTTTGAAAAAGTGCAGTATACCGACAATATTTTCTGGTAGTACCAGTACCAGTAAGTATAAAAGTATTAGATTATTATTTCGAATGTTTTTTTTATTTCTTTTTTCCTTATTTTTCACCAAACTCAAGGGTCATAGCCAGAAAGGTGCTGTGTGTGAGAGGTATTGGGTGCGGCGGGGATTCTTCTGTACCGCTGTAGTCGAGGTGGAGTCGTAAGGGAAGAGGAGTGTTGGTATGGCGATTGGCAATGCGCCACTCGACTATCTTTCGCGATTTTGGTGAGGCTGTACCACTTGATGAGCTTCCAAGTGATAGTTTTCCCTGGCTCCATTCACATATCGGGCTCGGTGAGTCCATAGTGCAGGTGGAGTTAAAGGACGCGAAGGGCAGTTTGGCTTGTTTCTAGTGCGCCTTATCTGAGAATGAAAACGGGGGGAGAAGTCAGCAACCAAAGAAAGGCTGCCATTGGGCGGCATTATTTACACTTACGGCAAATTATGTGGACCTCAAACCTTGGATTGCGCTTTGCAACATTTGTATTTTGGTTTAAGTTGGTTTACTCGTTTGAATGAATAAACTCTAACCACCAACTACCAACTCTGGAGTAACAATAGCCAGTATTAGCTTCTCTTTTAAAAAAAAAAAATAATCTGTGTTTTTTAGTTACTCTGGTTTAACATAGTATTTGGTCGAATCTCGTTTGGTTGTTAAATAACCGTGTAATAATGTTATGGTATTCTTTAATATAATGTTGTCCTTAGTTCTTGGACAATGTCACCTGAAGAGCTCGTATCTCTATAAATGTTTCCTCGGTTTATGATCTTTGTAGAATATTTAGAGACGATACCAGGAGACTCGACGGTATGGGTTTGTTTGCTTGAGGGAGAGAGAGAAAGAGAGAACGCTTTAGTGTGGGATACTACTTGCGAACACTTTGACAGCATCCCATCTCAGGGGTACCTTGTCTAAAGCAGAGGTGGCATTAGAGGCAACTGAACTAAGTAAATAGCCCAAAATATCTAGAAGATGAGTAGATATTTGAGCAATTTGCTGTAGAGACTATTGGTCCGTAGGGTGCACGTGCGGTGTAGTTCCTAAAAAACTGTATCTGCGACTGATCTTCGCTGCTGGTAATAAGAAGTTGTTTAGTTTGTTGTTTCCTCGCTTAAAGGCTAAGTATAGCCATTCAGAGAGGACACGTAGCCAGCATTCTTGGGACGATACCACAGAAAGTAGGACTGTATGATAATTTCTGTAATTTTTTTTTAATATTGTTATTTTAATTTCGAAAATGACGTTGTACATAACTGATAACTATGTAATTCAAAGTTTATATTTTTTTATATTATTTTGCTAGCTCGTACCCGGTGCATTACTGCCGCAGAAGAAGTAATTGTGGTTATATTGTATAATTAGGAATGATAATACAATCATTGAAATAGAATGATATATAACTTTCTATAACTTTCAAATAAATAGTCAGTATAATACGCACGCCACCTAATGTCATTTAATTGTACCATGCATATAACCTTCGCACAAGTGCAACTATTAAGTTGACTAAGTTTTATGGTAATCTGATGAACGGTATAGCATCGTAGAAAGTAAGAGCAAACATAAATTTTTATATAGTAAAAAATATTTTACTGCCTATAGACAGACCTGTAGTTGATTAGAATAGGCGTTATTATAGCAGCTGATTTGTTTTTTTATAATACTAGAACTAAATGAACGGTTGGCAATAAATTATTTTAGAAATTATGTTTTTATTTTTATTTTGTGTATTGTTAGTTTAATCTTAATAATTTTTAGTTGAATGGTCTAAGGGCTACGATGGCTATCCGAGTACTAGAATATGAGAGAACCAGAATACAAAACTAATCCAACTGTAGAGATGTGTAAGACAGGGTAACGTAACATCCCCGAAATACTTTACCACTGCATTGGAAGACCTTTTCAAGCTACTGGACTGGAAAGGATACGGTATGAACCTCAATGGCGTGTACGTCACTCACCTTCGATTTGCCGATGATATAGTCCTTACGGCAGAATCGCTGGAGGACCTACGCACTATGTTCAATGACCTCAATAGTGTCTCCCAACGGATAGGTCTTAAGATGAACATGGACAAAAAAGTCATGTGTAATCTCCATGTCACACCTATGCCGGTGGTTTTTGGGAGCACTTAGCTAAAGTTGTTGACGAGTATTTTTACTTGGGATAAATAGTCCAACTAGGAAAGTTCAACTTCGACCGACAGGTCAATCGACGGATTCAACTCGGCTGGGCAGCGTTCGGGAGATTACAACACATCTTCTCGTCAGTCAGTGTCAGTGATGACCTATGGATCTGAGACGAGGTCTTTCACTGCTGGCCGTATGAGGAAGCTCGAAGTCGCTCAGCGAGCTATGAAAAGGGCTATGCTCAGGGGTTCAAACTTAGGAATGAGGATATCTGCAACAGAACCAGAGTGACCGACATCACCCAATGGATTAGTAAGCTGAAGTGGCAATTGACCGGCCATATAGCTCGAAGAACCGAATACCGATGGGGAAAAAAGGTTCTCGAGTGGCAGCCTCGTACCGGCAGGTGAAGTGTAGGACGTTCCCCCACTAGATGAAGTCAAAACCTGGTAAACCTGGTAAGACATACAGGAAGTTGATGGATGCAGGTGGCTCAGGACCGTGCTTTGTGGCATTTCTTGGGGGAGGCCTATGTTCAGCAGTGGACTTGTGAAGGCTTTAGTGATGATGAATGATAATGGCATTACATTGATATGATACATACTAGGTGGATTGAAAAGTACTCGGCCTAACACAGATCCATTCAATTCTAAAAATCAAATCTACTAACATTATTTAGTTCAGTTCAGACTAGTTCATTGTGTGAAGTTCGAAACGTGTGCGATAATTAGTTGTGATTTTATAAATTTATTAACAAAGTAATCGGACATAATTTCCGCGAATGGAGCAAATCGAGCAGCATGCCGTCATTAAGTACCTCCATAAGAAGGGGCTATCATCAAAAGCCATCCATGATGACATGGTCAGTACATTAGGCGATTGTGCTCTGTCATATTCATCCGTCAAAAAATGGATAGCAGAATTTAAGCGTGGTAGAGAGAGGTGAAAGATGAACCCCGCTCTGGAAGGCCTTCGACGTCAACTACTGCCGGAAATATTAAAAAAGTACTTGATTTAATAATGGGAGACCGCAGATTAAAAATTAGAGAGATAGCCGAGATTATAGGCATCTCTTATGAACGAACTCAAAACATCATTGTCAACGAGTTGGGTTTCCACAAGGTGTCTGCGAGGTGGGTTCCGCGACTGCTTTCAGTTGAACAAAAAAGGACGCGATTGACTATTTCACGCGACTGTTTGGAGTTATTTGAAGCCGATGCAGATGATTTTTTGAATCGTTTTGTTACTATGGACGAAACATGGGTTCATTACTGTACACCGGAAACAAAACAGTGGAGAAGACCTGGTTCACCACCCCCTAAAAAGGCTAAGTCGATTTTGTCGGCAAATAAGGTGATGGCTTCAGTATTCTGGGACTCGAAAGGTGTGATTATGATTGATTATCTTGAAAGGGGTCAGACTATAAACTCTGATTACTAATGCACCTTACTACGTCGTTTACGAGAGGAAATAAAAGAAAAACGTCGAGGAATGCTCAGAAGAAAAGTCCTGTTTCATCAAGATAACGCCCGTGTTCACACATCAGTACAGTCAATGGCTGAAATTCACAACTGTGGCTTTGAACTGTTACCGCATCCGCCGTATTCACCTGATCTGGCACCATCAGACTTCTTTCTGTTCCCTAACCTAAAAAGCACTTGGGAGGTCAAAGATTTTCGACAAACGACGAGGTCAAAGCAGCTGTAGACGCATATTTTGACTCTAAGGAAGAATCATTTTTTTTCAACGGTCTAAATGCTTGGAAGGGGAGGTGGCAAAAGTGTATTGAACTTGATCGTGATTATGTAGAAAAATAAAAATATAACTGATTTAGTATGTGTTTATTTTCTTGGTTAGGCCGAGTACTTTTCAATCCACCCTCGTAAATAGAATGGGCGTTACGGGTAGAGTCCATCTATACATAGAGTCCATTCTATTTAGGTATAGGTAGGGTATAGAATTTTATCGATATAATTTGGTACACTGTCTCATCCCTATTATTAGTTCCGTGGACGTGCACTTCTGCTGTCAGCGCCAAAATGGCGGAAATCAAATCGCTTCATCATGTCACGGTGTATAGCCAGTCCAGCGTACTTGTATATATAGAGGTCAGTGGTGGTAATGCATTGTTTCACTGATTGTCATTCATACATATCTAATGCCTACTATTTTACTAAGGCATTTGTAAGAGTTGCCACGATCGGCAAAAACGATGCGAATTAAATCGCACACAGAAGAGTAGAAACTTGCTTGATTCACTCTCATGCTTCGGCTCATTGGTAAAGGTAGTTTTAATCAATGTATAGTGTTCGCGTAAATATAAGAAATCATTATAAATACTTATGTGATAAAATTATCAAAACTGAACTAAAAACCTTTGTATGGGCACTAATATAATTAGCTGTTTCTGAATCATCAGCGCATTTGGTCAGCCATCGCCGTATAGTTGCGCAGTCAGTAGGCGCATGATGAGGTGCTCCACAGGAGAAACAGGTCAGAGTTTCGCAGCCAAGGCATTCTACACGACGGGCGCCCACTCGAACCCAAGCCTGATAAATCCACTGTAATAATAATTAATAAAACACTATTGTTATCATAATATAAATTCAAGTAGCATAATTAATAAATAACATACGGCTAAAAAAAGAGGAGGTTAACAATTCGACTTATGTTTTTTTTTTAATTTAATTATATCATAATTTGTAACTACTTAAAATATATACATATAGATATAAAATTGAAGTGTGTCTGTAATATCAAAATACCTGCCCTATATATTAATGTCAAAAGGGTGTAATTTGCATGTTATTAAGACGTGAATATCGACGACTCCGTGGCGCAGTGGCTTAGCAATGAGTGGCTGCGCTGGGGCGTATATGGAATCTATACCTTCACGCAACGCTTATGACGTCAGAGACCGTGTTGCCGTCGGATATATTTTTAAATCCAGAAAGCGAAAATCTTTTCATTAGAGTGTAGCGTAAAAAAATAGGAAATATAGTGCATAGCATAGTGCGAAGTATATTATCGAGTGATAACTATATAGTTTGTGATTCTCTTAGTGTAAAAAGTGTGTAAAATGATAGATAAAGCCGGTTTAGAGGGCTTTATAACTGAACATTGTGGACTTATTGAGAAATTAGATTTTGAATCGTGTGAAAAGTACTTCATGCAAAAGCTGATCAAAATGAAGAGCAAGAACGATATGCTAAGTTTATTGACGAGTTTGTTAAATTTTTTTCTAATTATACGTAAACGAACTGGATAGTTCGAAAGTCATATCCTTCGTTGAAGCGCTTTTTGTTTCGAAAAACTTATACATGTCAACATTCATCGTTCAATAAAAAATCTGATAAGTCGTCTCGTGGACAAAACTGTAAGGCTAAAATAGACTTTGTTATCAAAAAAGTCAACAAGGACACTATTCGAAACGATAAACTATTGTTGAAAGGATATAATGTGTTAGTGACCATAGTTTTTGAACACTCTCATCGCGTTTATGTTGCCGAAGCTATGAATTTACTAAAATGCAACCAGGAAACCGAAGAATGATTTAAAAAATATTTCAACAGTGGGATGACGCCTTGTGAAGTAATAAATTACAATGAATTGAACATAATGGACTCGTTTCAAGATACTGCTGTAAATGGAATAGAGATGCTGTCGAATTCTCAAATAAATTCTTCTGAAAATCATGTGTACTACATGTACTACATGTATATATAATAAATGGCGTGCTGAAAAGTATGGTGACCGTAATGAATGCAATCTCCCCGAAATCATGCAAGGGAAAATTGAGAGTTTAAATGAGAAAGGCTACACGATACTGTTAAAACAAAATCCCAGGAATATTGTCATAATTACGCCTATAATGAAACGGGTCTTTCTATCTACTGCATATAAGAATATGATATTTGTAGACACAACTTCATCGTGTGACCAGACCAGTTCTGCAATTACTCTAGTTTTTACATCTCACAAAATTGGCGGTCTTCCATTGGCTTGTGCTATATATACCGAGCAAAATGAATCCAATTACACACTGGTTTTTGCCACCATTAAAGAAGCTATAGAAAAGAACGAGATGAGTAAAAAATTTGAGCCTGATATTGTTATGACGGATGATTCTACTGCAGAACGAAATGCTTTGAGAACCATTTTTCCAAATGCTCGATTAATATTGTGCGCATTTCATATATGTCAAGCCTTTTGGCGATGGCTTTGCGTTACAGATCACAAAGTTGACATAATGAAAAGACAGTCAATCATGATGAGATTTAGAAATATTCTTTTTGTAAATGATCCAGAAGAAGCAGTAAAATTGTATGAGGGATTGACAATGGACGTGTATATTAAGACGATGCCAGCTCTGTTAAATCATCTCAGTAACTTATGGTAACGGCGACTAGGGATGAATATGGTGTATCTCTAGTAGGGTGGATTTACTTACGCGAGGAAACAATACTAACAACATAACAGAAGCATCTATACGCATTCTTAAAAACGTGATACTCCAGCGCTGTAAAGCATTTAATGATTGCGCAATAGTAAATTTCATCACCTCCATTTTTGAGAACTATTTTCAGCGCCGCATCATTTCTTACGCTAACACGCGAAAAACCAAGGATTCCATATATACGATGTTCATGAAAACTGCTCGAAATATTAAAAATATTTCTAAAGTCAACGATAATGAGTACAGTGTAGAATCAGAGACAAATTCAAATACTTTTTACACTGTCAGAGCCGATTTAGCTGTTTGCGACTGTGATGCTGGAAAATGTGGAAGATTTTGCAAGCACCTATGTAGCATTGAGCAAAAATTTGGGGTTATATTTCCGAATTCTCCTCGGCTGTCTATTCATGATAGAATATCACTAGCAAGAATTGCGATGGGGGATGAGATAAATGAAAATTTTTATATGAATATGGAGCTGAGATTGGATCAAACACCAAACAATGATTTGGACTCGATAGTACCACAGTGCTCTTCCTCCAACACACAAGAGCTGACACAGGATGCGGACAATTCTTCGTCACACTCACAACAGGTTGCTGTATAATTTCCGCACCAGTATAATAATGCACTTGCTGAATTTAAGTCTGAAGTAAAACGCTTCACAGCGTTATTTGAAACGAGCCCCACTGTCCACAATCTAAGAGCCCTAGCGAAATTCACAAAAATACGTCAGAGCAAGGACAAAACTTCATTTTACGTCAGATAATAACAAGGCGTGTACCAAGAAAAATTAATGTTCAAAGCACAGCCATAAGTAGACGTAAAGACAGGGGAATAGGAAAGATGAAGTCTAGGATTCAAGCTGGGCGGCCGTCTAACACAGAACGCAAAACTAAACGAAAGCATGACTTAGGACAGAATATTAAAATGAATGTTCATAACGCGCGCTAAATTCTTATTTTTCCTTTTTTAGTTCATGCCAATTGTATTTCTGTACTAAGTTCATTTCCTTTTGTAATAAACGTTTTTATCCACTTTTGTTCTTGTATAATTTATTTCAATCCTAACATAAAAATAACCATCCCTTCGTCTGTATTCGTCTTTGTATTCGTTGAGACACTGAAACGGGTATAGATTATAGTATAGCAAAATGTAGTGTCCTACATGAAAGTATACCCCGGAAAATTGTTGCGGACGGGTATACTTTGAACTCCTTAATACGGCTGCATATATTTTTATTGTATATCCGAACTCAAAACTATTGAGCGTTGTATAAAGGTATAGATTCCATATACGCTGCGCTGGGGGGTACGCAGGTTCGAATTCCGCAAGGAACAAGTATTTGTATGGTCTACAAATAGTTGTTTCGGGTCTGGATGTTTGTCCTTGTGCAATTTATGTTTGTAAACTGCCCCCACGATACAGGAGAAAATCCTAGTAACGTTTAAAAAAATAAGACGCGAATAACCATTTACAAACTTTTTGTCTGTCTCTCATGGCTAATCTTCGGAGTGGCTGGTCCGACTGTAATGAAACTTTTTGCATAGATAGATAGTAACGCCGGGAGTGAGCCAGGCTATATTTTATTCGAAAAATTTGAGAGCTTATTTTTGTGAAATCGAAAAATTAATTAATTAAACTATCTACTGGCTATGACGATCTACCTTAAATAAAATTATTTTTAGTACAATATTTAATTATTTTAAGTACAAGCTTGATTATATTTGCACTTAAAATTGTAAGTAAAGATTTGCAAATTTACATAAACAAACCTGACAATTAGGACCAGGACAAAATCTTAACTGAGGGTGTGATTTCACATGGTCCTTGAACATAAACTGCTGATAGCGTTCGCGTAGAGCTGGCTTTGTAACATGCGACAATACAAAGTCTTCTGGCGCCAATACTTCACAATCCTGTGCCATACACTGTATTGTATTTGAAACACCTGAAATAGTGATCATAAATTGTTTCCAATAGTTTAAAAAGAAATTAATAAATACATAATAAAAACCTAAAAAGAAAAAACATGTGAAATAACTATAAATACAGGCAACCATCAGTTGTTTCAACTAAATGTCTGACTAAACATTTAAAAATAATAGTTTAAAATGTCCTCACCATGAATTAATAATAGAATAAAGCAGTGTCCATCCTACGTAATTAATTCCTGGCAAGATTTGATAAACCATTCTATGTCATTTCGTGTGATGAAGGGGGTTCATCCCTTTATCCTTAGCCAACTAGCAGTGCCAGGACATGACAGTACAGAGCATTTCCGACTTAGTATGGTTTGTAAGGAGCTTCATGGTAAATTTAAGCCTTTGGTAGACACAGTGACCTCCCTTCACTAGCTATATTTCAGTGACCTTTTTAAGGAAACCATGGATTTTATCTTTCTGATACGAGTACAAAGTTATTAAGGCCAACAACTATCGAGACATCCGAGGGACAGAGACACTTTGGCATGCCATCTCCAGTTGTTCAGCGCTTTCCAATTTTGAGTATTTACATATACACCACTTCAAAATGACCGCGAATTTCAAATGAGGCTCTATTGGAACGGGCCATCATCAACGATAGGACAATTCTTTTGCCTATTTTTTAAAAATCTTTTGCTATTTGTACACTCGGCACAACCCGCCTTTTTCACCTAATCCTCAGCTGTTAGGTCTCCTCCTACCGAGGGCCTTACACTGATAGGGGTTTTATTTATTTATTTTATACAACATGTAACAAAAACCATGTGGTTCCCGTTCAGTGCGTTATCGGAATCAGTATCCAGGCGTATAGAAATAATTTAAAAAAAACACACATTATAATATTTTTATTTAAATGAAAAAAAAATATATTTGCAAATTGTTAGAGGTTTTATTATCTCTGCATTGGCCGAGGAGTAAGAGGATTGTCAAAGACCCCGCATTACCTATACTCGTGTTAGTTAGAGGAAATAAAACCACATACAATTTGCAAATTAATTATTTTTTCATTAAAATTAATTTTTTAAAATATGTTTTTTTGAAAAAAAAATATAATAGAATAGAAATACTATATGCTCGGATACTGATTCTGACAACACAGTTAATGGGAACCACAGGGTTTTTGTTAAATGTTGTATATATTCAACATATATTTTGCTTTATTAATCATTTTTAATGGTTTTCGCATCTAGACGTCATTATAATAATAATGAGAAAAAAATGAAAAGTTTAGAAATTTTAATTTCAATTTGTCGAAGTTTGAATTTAAAAATAGCTGTTTTACCTCTGTCCGATGATATTTGTAAGAATCCATTAAAGGTCATTAGCATAAAGTTTTTTTGCAAATATAGAAAAACTTACTATTAATTAAAGTATCTGTGCAAATGTCAAGTTATGTTTTAGGTTAACCATATAGTGTCATTGTAAGAATATCCACTTCCCCATATCACTCCATGGGTGTCTTTGAGACAACAGAACAAAACAAACCACAAAATGGCTAGCAGCATCTTCTTTATAACTACACTAAAATTAAAAAAAAATGTGGTTGCCAACCCACCCCTAACGGTAACAGTTTCAAGAGGAACCTTCATCCACTCCAACAGCAGCTTTAGAGGCCACACTGGAGATAACCCCGCTTTATCTTCACGTATAAAAAGGAGCTTCCTAAGCTGCCATTAGACACAAAACCCTTAAAATTTGAAGTTACAGTTGGATATAATTAATAGAATTCACAACAAAACTTCTATCTTGCAAGCCAAGTGTGTCGGCACGTCTATAAAATACTGGTTGGATCGAGAGTGAGCGAGAGGTTGCATCACTCGAGCGAAGCGTCATATCTAGGTCGCATGGTGGTATTGAGTGTATATCGAGGAATCGCCACACTCGTTGGTACACTATAAAGTTCACTGTAGGCGTCGTGCGCGTCAAATTCCGCCTAAATCATTCTACGAGTGCTAACGACAGTGTCGTGGTCCTGTTTGTTGTGGTAATTCTTCTAGTGCTGCCAAAGATGGTGTCGCTGAGGAGCTACTCTGTATTGCAATAAAACGGGTAGTGTTGCTGGTAGTTTGCATACTGTGGTGTTATCACGTAATTACATCCTTCACGTTACATCACTGTGTGATTGTGATAGGAACATATTACAGTATGGTCAAACTGTAATTGCTCTATATCTTCAGTGCTTTCATACGGCCTCTTGTGGTGGGGCAACTCGGTTGAGGTTGGCAAAGCTTTTCGTATTCAAAAGAAGTGTGTAAAGGCCATTTGTGGAGCTTGGTCTTTAGATAGTTGCAAGCCTTTATTTCACAAATTTCACATACTGCCTCTAGCTTGTATGTACATACGGGAACTTTGTGTTTTTGTCAAAAACCATCCACAATATTTCACCATTAACTCAAGTTTAGTCAGTAGAAGTGCCATGCCAAGAAATAAATTTAAGCTATATCTGCTTCAATGCAGACTTGATATATATAAAAGAAATGTAATGCCATTAGAGTTTACAATAAATTGCCTAACACTTTCAAAGACCTACCTTTCGTTAATTTTTAAAAGGAAACTCACAGAATGGCTGGAAACAAAATGTTTTTATAGTGTAGACGAATATATGACTTATAAATAAATCTACAATAATGGTAATAATGAAAAAAATGATTATTTTTTTCCTTTTTTTGCCATTAAATATTTATTTTATTTTTTGACATTTTTTTTTTAGATACTTGACATTTATATATAATCATTTCCATATTTAATTAAATTTTGATATGTATTTATTGTATTTAAAAATTTGGTGCTGAAATATTTTTAAAAGATTACATCATTGTTTTTCTTCAATAATTTAACCTCATAAAATTTCAATAATATTTTTTTTGTATATTGTAAAGATATTGCACGCCAATATAATGGTAGAATGTAAGATCTCATTAATAAATAAAATCATCATAATATTATGTACTACATTCTGGCAATGAATAAATGAATTTGAATATACTAAATGTGTAGTACATTACACTGTTTTTATTGCAGATAATGATTAAATGCGTAAGCAAGAGAGCAAGGAATCCTATGGCGGAAACTAAAACAGGAAAGTAGTTTAAGACCGGAGTTGGTTTCACTGCTGGAATATTGGTACGGTAATCAGACTAACACAGTTAGATGGGGTAACGCCTTTAGTGACCCCTATAAACTAGAGTACGGAGTGAGGCAGGGAGGACTGACGTCACCCAGGCTGTTTAATCTTTATGTTAACAGACTGATTGAGAGGCTCAGCAGAGCAGGTGTCGGTTGCTCAATAGACGGTGTTTCGATGAATAACTTTAGTTACGCAGACGACATGGTTCTGTTGCGCCCCTCAGTCAGAGGGCTTCGTAAACTGTTGAGAATTTGTGAAGAATATGCCGAGGAGACTAGACTCATCTATAACTCAAAAAAGAGTGAATTTATTGTCTTCAGAGGTAAAAACAAACCACTTGACTTCAAACCACGTATCCAGCTATGTGGCACGGCTCTGAGACAAGTGGCTGAGTTTAGGTACCTCGGACACATTGTAACTGAACGCCTGGATGACGACAGCGACATTGAACGAGAGCGCCGAGCGCTGTCGGTTCGGGGCAATATGTTGGCTCGCAGATTTGCACGTAGTACGACACAAGTAAGTTAACTTTGTTCAAGGCGTATTGCCAATCCTTTTACACGTGCAGTCTGTGGACTAACTATACGCAGCGAGCCTACAGTACTCTGCGTGTTCAGTACAACAATGTGCTGAGGATAATGTTGAGGAGGCCTCGACACTGTAGTGCGTCGGCAATGTTTGCAGATGCTCGTGTGGACGACTTCTACGCGATCATGCGCAAGCGTGCTGCGTCCATGATGAGCAGGCTATTAAGGAGCTCCAACACCCTTCTCAGCACATTGGCTGTGAAGCTGGATAGCCCTCTCTGGAGAATTTGGAATGGTGCACACACCAGCACCAGAAGAACCTCAACTGGGTTTCGCTATGTGAGGCTGGGTGTAGGTTAAGTTACTAATATAGGATAAGTACCATTGTTACTAACATTTTAATATTTTAATATTAATTTATATTTTATTTTATAAGTAACATTAAGTTAAGGTTTGTTTTACTAACAATCTATGACTATTGTTGGTCGAAATAAAGGCTTTTATTATTATTATTATAAGAACCAATGGTAGCCACCATTGATTGTTATGCACAGCTTTTGTACACTTGTAACAAATTTCAATCCAATAAATGTACTTTAATTGTCTTAATGTTTCATTTTCTTGTTTTAGTGAATTCCTTTGTTAACTTTAAGTACCTAGATGACCGAGCTTTGCTCGGTTTTAATTAAAAAAATGTATGCAATTAGTTTAATTAAAATTTTCGTATTTTTAAAAAATACTAAAAAAAGGGCTCGAAATAATATATAGAAGAAGATTTAGAAAAAAGGGAATTTGAAAAAAGGAAAAAAAGTCGGAGCGAAGACAGGACGCGAACGAAGGAATTACGATTTCGCGACCGCTCGATATCCACTTGAGCTATTACGATCATTAACACGGTGTCAAAATTTACCTTCTTATATTGTAGCAGTTTTTCATTGCCTGAAAACACGGACAAAAAGACATTTTCTAAAAATAAATCCTAGCTAGATCGATTTATTGCCCCCGAAACTCCCTGGACACAAAATTTTATATATATACAAGAATTGCTCGTTTAAAGGTATAGGATTTTGTTTGCAGAATTCCTACTTCCCAACTAAATTTTAATTTTACTTGTAAAAAATGAAATGTTGAAAAAATGAGCGGTGAAGTGGGGAGAGTTCTCAATCGACGCATCAGGCGTGCGGGTTTAACATTCGTGATGGAGCGTTGGACCGCAGCGTAACGTGCTTTTGCTTTCGAAGCTTACTTTAAGAGTGGGCACTTGTGCGCTGCTGCGCTTCGGAAATTTTGTTCTCAATACAATATTCGCCGA